GTACTGGTCTACCAGGCTTTTAACTGCTTGCAGAGCTGTACCGATCTACCCATTTATTTTTGCAGGCTCTGCTCTACCCATTTATTTTTGCAGCCACTGATCTACTCATGTATTTTTGTAGGCACTGATCTACCCATTTATTTTTGCAGGCACTGATCTACTCATTTGTTTTCTTTTAACACTGATCAGCTGTAGGGCGGCCCTTTGAAGCCCCATGGCAAGAGTTTAAACAGATTTTTTCCCTCTAGCCATCAGCTGGGACTCAGGAGGCAGCAATAGATTGGGGGTGGAGCCAAATAAAAGGTAAGAATAACGCGGGGGTGGGGGAGCGGGGGTTGGGGGGGCAGAACCAGTTCAGTGACATCATATCATCACCACTACCGGCTCGGTGGAACCTGGCCGAACCGGGAGGAACCCACCACTGGGTTGGAAACTAACCAAGGAGAGAAGCAACCTAGAACTAAGGAGAAATTTTCTAATGATGAGAACAGTCATCCAACAGGATCACTTGCCTTCAGAAGTTGTGGATGCTCCATCACTGGAGGCTTTCAAAAAGAGACTGGACAACCATTTGCCTGAAAGGGTATCAGGTTTCCTGTTTGAGCAGGCGGTTGGACTAGAAAACCTCCAAGGTCCCTTCCAACTTTATTATTCTATATTCTATGTTTATAAAGAATCCAGCAGAATGGCTTTTTTTTGTTCTGACAATACCAGGAAAAGAAGTCTTTTCAAAATGTATGAGATTATAACTGGTAGAATTACCAGGCATTATAAGAGATGTAGCCCTGAGTTTAAAATGTGCTTAAGTAATGATAGCTCTGAAAGGTGGGAGAAATGCTGAAGCTATATAAAGACCACAAGCATATAAAAAAATATTACAATAATGGCATACATTTATAAAATGTAACAATGTGTGAATGCTTGACAGACAGGAGTAATAATGAGAATAAGTAAACTTTAATATACATCCAATATATAAACTAGTGTCATGCTTTATACCAATATAATTTCAGTGTACTATAAATAAGCAAATGCATATGCACACAGGTACGTACACACATAGACATACTGTACTTACTGAGTTGTCTTGTTGATGACAGATTAAAATTATCTAGCATGATTGCTTCAGACATATAAACTGAGTTCCCAAACGGCAATTACTTGATTTTTAATAGAAAACTCTTCAGACTGTAAATGCATTATAAGCAACAACATTTCTATTCTACCTTGGATTAAAACTCAGCCCACTAATGTACTTGTAATAGTCAGCAGTTAAATCACTGGTCTAACTCAATGTCTCCTCATAGTTAACATTCAACAGGCAGAAAATTTTAACTACATAGCAAGTTGTTTACTGTTTGTCATTTACTTATCCTCAAATGTGGCCTATACCACACTTTGAAAAGTCTCCTTTTTCCCTTGAGCTTTCACAAAATAGTTTTAGACAAAGCCCATATGAATTCATGTTTGACTAAAATTAGCTTTAGACCTACTTTTTGTGGCAAACATTTATAAACTATATCAAACCTATTTATCTAATCAACAGAATCAAATAATATTATCAAAATCTTATCAAATAAGATTTTGCTGAACTGTACCATTTCAGGTTACTAGTAGGCTATGCTAATCATACTTCTTCCCAGTTAAGAGCTTCTAAATAGGGGTAGTGGTTAGTGATTTAAGATATCAGTATCAGAGATAAAATATTTCTCAAATCTACCTCCTAAAACTATGGAATATGGTTGGATGTTCAATCTAGTGCTACAAAACTGTTGGCATCCTTCTATAAGACTGATGAAACTGTTGGCTGGTTCAGCTATCCATTTTATTTGGTTGATTGAACAAAGAGCAATAGGCAAGTGCTGTTCCTCCTCATCCTGGGAGCTCCAATTTTTTAAAAAATCCTGTCATTTATCAGTTGCCATGAATATGTTCATGATATGCAGACATTAGGTGGATGTAAAGCAAATGAATCACTCTGAAAGATTGCAATACCAATTACTTTCTTCTAACACCATGTAATTCTGAAGCAGTATGTTTTATTTTTAAAGGCCAACTTCTGGATGGAGAGATCTTAACAAATGGGTAATTACAGCATCATTTAAAAAAGTTATATCAGATTTCAAAAGAGGAAATCTTCTAAACATAAAAGGCTTGGTTTAAAAAGAAATGAAAGAAGACGTTTAAAAAGATTCTATAGAACTATCTTATTCTTTCATGATATGAAAATATGGGGTCATCTAATAAGTACCAAAATATTCAAGATACAGAAAACAACACTATAAACAATTTACTTAATGTGGATTCAGTTCATGTCATACTTAAACTATGCAACTATACACAGTCTGTGGTAGCATGACTGATATCTATGTTTCTTATCAAAGGCTACAAGATTTGAGAAAATATACCACTAAATATCAATCTTTGGAAAACACAATCAAGATAATGTTATCAGGAAGACTTTTCAGAGGTATCTGGCTAGCTAATGAAGACAAAGATGGAAAAAAATCCACAACTGATTCTGCTAAGAGAATGAAAGCTAGTTACTTTGTCCTCACTCAGAAAAATACACTGTGGGAGTAGATTACGATTGCATTTACTTCTTTAACATGATGAGATAGTCAATAAAATCTGTTCCAGCTTTATAAATGTTCTACATTCTTGTGAGTTGCAGAATCAAATGGCCACATTATACAAAATAGGAAGAATTTTACTGTTTGACATATCTAGACCTGAAGTAAATATGCAACCTTTTTGAAAATTAAGAGAGTTTAAAAAAGAGTAACCTTATCATCAATCAGATCCAATATGGTACATCGTACGTGGATTTAAATTAAAAATCAGTAGAAGGATTTGTCATCTTGGAATGCGGTCCTAAAAAAAAGTATATCCTTACAAAACTTAATTATATTACTGCGGCAGGAGAACAAGATGCTGCCTTAAGCGCCGTTTTTGTGGCCCTTAACTTTCTCCACAATTATACTGCTAAAGATCATAACACATTCATTATTGTTTAAGTGCTTTTGAGATGTTGGAATCCAGATTATCTTCGAAGAGGCCTCTAGTAGTCTATTTTTAAATGGATTTGTCAAATCTTGTCTTCCATTCACCCTTTTGTTTTGCTTGCCTTCTTTCATATCCCCATATCACATTAATGCCATTTTTACATTCACAAATAAGAAGCACTATATACATATATATCAGAGGTGGGTTTCAGCAGGTTCTGACCAGTTCTGGAGAACCGGTAGCGTAAATTTTAAGTAGTTTGGAGTACCGGTAGTAAAAATTCTGACTGGCCCCGCCCCCATCTATTCTCTGCCTAACAAATTTGGAATCTAAAAAGATAAATGAAAAGTATTTCTTGCCTCTTTTCTTGCTTCTTTTAACTTTAATATACTGTTTTTATGCTTTTAATATTTTATTGTACACTGCCCAGAATCCTTTTGTGAGAGAGATTAATGGTTCTTAAATACGATAAATAAATAATAATAATAATAAATTTCTTTCTACTAGATATATCAGGGTTTTTTTCTTCTTCAATTTTGTTCCACTGTCAGAGGCTGCTTGGACAAGTCCTTGCAATTTTCTTGGCAAAATTTTCAAGTAGTTTATCACCGCCTCCTTTCCAGGGCTGAAAGAAAGTGACTGGGCCAACATCACCCAGCTAGCTTTGGTCCTTAGGCAGGATTTGAATTCACAACCTCTCAGTTTCTAGCCTGGTGCCAAACTGGCTCTCATATTAGGGTATACCACTTGTCATAAATGTAAGGTTACTGATCTTATGCCAGAGATAATATACTCTTTTTAAAGTTTTAGATAATTATTAGTATTACTTTTGTTTTAAAAAATAACGCCCAAATCTTTATCATATCCACATTTGGAAAAGGACTATTTTTAGTTGCTGTTCAACTGAAAGCTCACTTTCACTGTTACAGCCTCATACTGCATGTCCTTGAAATGCCTTTGATTTAATAATTTAGAAATAGAATATGAAAAAAAATGGTTTTTAATTTTATTTTTCCCCATTGAAAAATTGCTGGAACTTTTTCATTTACATGATGTGTTTAGATAGTATTTACTTAATATTTCAGTGACCAATAACAATGTGAGCTGAATAAAAATATGCAGTAATTTTGCAATTATCACCTTTGGCTTCAGTAAAATGCTCAATGGGAAGAGATAGGCAGTTGAATGGTGCCAATAAAGAGAAATAGATATCATTTTCTTTTACATGGCATAATTGCTACATAAGCCATGATCATTCCACAGGTTTTGTTAGATCTAGTTCCATCTTGCAGAATAACAGGAAAGGAGATATACCTTCTCAACTATAATCTAATGCAACACTAGCTACTGTACTTGCAGTGATAGAGAACAACAAAATATGAGATTTTAGGTAACTTTTGACATTTTTAAAAAACTTTATTCATTTCAAACTTTATTAAGAAAGAAGAACCATAATACAAACCTACAATTTTGGAATCTAAGGAGATACATGAACAGTGTTTCTATATCTGAACTGAATGTCTTCACACTAGATATATTAGAGTATAATGTACAGTTTAGTGAAATTATTGGAAAAGTTATGGCAGAAGAATTTAATGGAACAGATATGACTGCCTGCCTGTCAAATCACTAACATTAATCACAGAAAACTATTGGAAGTTTTCTGACACACTGAAGAATTCTAGGAGGTATTTAATAACTAACATTAACATTTTGTTTCACCAGCATTTCTTCTAAAGAAACAACTATATAATAACTATGAACAGGTCTACTTGTTCTGGTTCTTATTTTGTTGTAATAAATGCCTAAGACAGGGGTGTCAAACTCACAGACTATGGGCCAGATGTGTCACATGCTGGCCACGCCCAGTTTAGGGAAGGGGGGGGAAGTCAGGATACGTCACGTGATGACAATGTGATGGCGTGAGTTTGACACACCCCTGGCCTAAGATAAATAGCCAGTGATGAAGTCAAGATATAAACTTTAAATCTTACCTGAGTTCCTGCACGATTGAATCCACATGTGCTGTAAAAGAAGAGAAAACTGAATAACTTATATGTTTGGTTTTTTTAACCTGCTCACTTCTGATAAGAAAAGTAACCCTTTTCTTAACAGGGTTACTTTAATTCCCCCCCCCCCCAGCCACAGGATTATTATTATTCTAAGTAGTAACTATTAAGTAGTAAATTCTATGATGACTTTTAAAAAACAATATGCAGATGATTTTCTACCACACTGGAAGATGAAAAATACTGTACAATGGATAAAATTTACCCCATAGTTTCTTTTAAAATAAATACAATTGCTACTAATAGCAGTAGTAGTGTTGATTGTAAAATGAAAAATCATATTTTTGTAGAGATGATTTGAGAGTGAAGAACTCTGGTGTTTACTTATTTATATACCTCCCTGAAAAAGATTAGATGGTTTATTGGAAAAGCCATTAGATCTTTTACTCATCTTTCACTCTACCTTTGGGAAAACAGTTACTCTTGTAAGCCTCTTTGTGCAAGAGAGAAGCATTTAATGCTTAAATATGCTTAACTGTTTTGGTAAATAAGAGTGATAGCCTCCTTAATGTTTAAAGAAATTATGGCAGTATGTTAACTTTGATTAGAAACTACTAAAGAAACTCAGTTAGCCTGTAGCTCCCTGCAGATTTAGTCAAATAGAAGCTCACAACAATGTTCAGATGTGCCGCAGTAACTTCATTATTCCATTGCAATTAATCACCTCATTTGGGAGTTGTTTTTCATCCTGCTAATCTAAATGGAACTGCTGTCATTGATCTCAACTGAGGGTAAAGGAAGCTTTTTAAAGAATCATATAGATCTAGATAACTGGTGGGATCCTACTGGTTTAACAACTGGTTCGCTAAGCACGCAATTCACAAAGCAAGACCTGCGCGTGTGTGCACAGTTTGAAGAAAAGTCACCTTCCGCATCACTGTCAGCAAGGAAAATAGCTGAGGCACAGCAATCCACTCTGCCGTGCTGACTAGCTGGGCTTCAGAAACAGAAATATAGGTTGAGTATAATGCAGGGGCGGGAGGGCGGGCCCACTTCAAAATTGGGAGCGAACCGGTTCGCTCATGGCTGAAAGTTGGAGCTAACGGTTCGCCTGAACCAGTCCGAGCTGGTAGAATCCCAGCACTGATCTAGATGGATATCATTATAACTACTTATATTGCTAGTACTAAGGTATCTGGGTTGATAACCTCTGGGTGACCACAAGATGGCAGCAAATGGTCAAATTTATCTTTGCTACCATCTACTGTTTGAATTTATGCAGTTTATGATAGCTCCATACTTTACACTCATGAAAGTGAATACCAAAATGTGCACGGATGTAGAAATTTTATAGCAAATTTGTTTGGAATTTTGGGAAGTCTGTCTTTTAAAAAGACAGACATAAAATAGGAAATTATTAATAATGATAAATTCATGGTTTGCACATTAATTTCTTATATGCCTAGACATCTTTCACATTGAAATGTTGTAATGCAGTAGTTCTTAAATGGTGGGTCATGAAATCCTTAAAGTTCACAAATAAATAGAGAGGTCCTGATCACTATCCACAGGAATGTAATTATCAGAGCTTGGAAACAGCAGTCATTAAACAGCAGGGGTGAAATTCAGCCGGTTCTATCTGGCTTGGGTGAACCGGTAGCGGTGGCTACGGGAGACTCCACCCACCCATGCGGACATCATGTTATCACTTTTTGGTGACATTTTAAGCCTCTGCGCATGCGCAGAAGGCTTTGCACAAGTGCAGACAATGGCACAAGCAAGCAAAGCAAGCACGCGAGCACTGCACGCGCACAATTGCAAACCAGTAGAGAACGTAAGTGAATTTCACCCCTGCATTAAACCCAGAATTAGCAACAACAGCATGGTCTGGAAATAGGAGTAGGAATCTCAATGGGAAAGAAAACAGGACAAGAAGACTCCAGAAACTGGACTTGAAGAAAAAACTTGGAACCACCAAATAAATGTCTTGCAGGAATTCTGCTTCAATCCAGTTCTGCAAACTGAATACCAGGAACAAGTTACAATGGAAGATACAAGCCCATGGGAAGATATACAATGATGCTGACTGGCCCAGGAAGAACAAATAAATATTTCAGCAGAATTGTAGTCAAGAACCCTGATCCAATTGCAGGAAGGAATTTGTGTTTTATTAGTATAAGAAGGTTCAAGAAGTTTCTTACATTGATGTGTTCCAAAGTCCATACTCCATATGGGCTTCCAAAAACCAGTCTTTTCTCATTCATTTTTTTCAGCATCCCACACTTATGTGTACATATTCTTTTCTATATGCTGATGCATAGCTGGACCTACTTCTGGAGAATACAGCATCCAAGAACTCCATTCAGTGCTCCTGGGACCGGTGAGAACTCATTCCTAAATCATCAATAAAACTGAGTTCTCACCAGGCACTGACTTTGCACATGCACAGGGCTATGACACTTCAATTAGGAACACATTTGAAGCTAGCTATCACTACCAGTACTTCCAAGGGGAAAAAAAACTCATTGCAACAATGGAAAATATATGCAGCTCTGATTTGAATTGTTTGGTTCTTGATTTTTCTGAACTTGCTTTTCATTTTGAAGACATTTTGTTACTGGCTAGGCAACATCATCAGTGCATAGGAGGGTGATATTTGATGGCTGTTTATATATGGCAGCTTGTCCTATCAGTCTTGATTGGAGTATTATTTCTTCCTTGATTACTCTTTTGATTGCAAACAGGTAGAAGACTGGCAGGTAGAAAACTGGAACATATACATGAGCATGGCAGTCAGAAGACATAATGAAAATTCCTTAATTTCATAACACATTGACAAGTTCCAGCACAATTTCAACTGGAAAACCATAGACTTAATCAAGGTAGATCCAAAAATATAATACAATTTCTAACAACTTGGCACTCTGACAAATCAGCTGGTAACAAAAATACTGAGATGAGTTCTATCTAGAAACCATTCAAAAAGGTAGCAATTAAAGGTCACAGAAACAACCAAACAACCTTAAGTACATTGATTCTCATCATACCATCACTTGTTTACCCACATCCAGATAAGCAGGAACAATCAAGAAAGAAACAATATCCAGTTGAAAGAGCAGTCAATGAAACAATACAGCAGTCAAGGCTGATAGGAGAAGCTACCATATTTAAACAGTCAGAAAACTTCACTCCCCTCTACTGTGTACTGATGAAGGTACCTAGCCTGGTTATTAAATATATGCAATGAAAAAAACAAGTTCAAAGAAGAGGTCACTAGTCAGAGGAACATGAAAGCTATTATTTTAGAAGGACCCAGCTCCACAAAGTTTGATAATTGCTGATTTCTGATGTAATGAGTTAAGTATCTCTGCATCTTTTAAAACAAGTACTTTATAGGGGTCAAAGCACTGTAAAGAGGGGTCCCCAAACTTGTCGAAACAAATATGAAAGAGAAGCACATCTCTTTGAATTGTTAAAGCAGCCACATTTGTTACAAGTCTCAGGTGACTGATAGAAACTGCTTTTGGTCACCTTGACAGATAAGAAGTGAAGTAATCATATGTGCATACGGTATGCATGTGGAGAAGTTGGAAGCAGCTTCAGAGCAGAACTAAAACTTTGCAGTGATATAGCTGTTTTAATGATTCAAAAAGGAACATTTCATACCCATTTCCACGCATTTTAGTTTATGCTTTTCACGCAATCTTTTCACAGCCTTAATATTTGAAAATGCTTACAATGAGAAGGAAGAAAATTGCCATATGGTTGACCTTTAATAAAATAATTTATTTAAAATATGTATGTTGACACTGAGCTTATTTTGAATTCACTGTATTAAGAAAATGCCTTCAAATCAGAGATGGGCAAACAGGCATCAGTTCATAAACTGAAAGTAGTTTTCTGAGCATTCAGACAAAATATTTGGAAGGCCTTGAGTATGGAATCCATACAGTTAGGCCACTTTCTTTGGTTAGAACTGATGTTTAGAGCATAATTTTCTACTGGGGATAATTGAGTCTGTAATCCATTCCCATCACAGGAATCACTGACACATTTTTGCTACTAGTGTCCTTCTCCATTTTCTATTCCATACTATAAAGGAGATTTTTCCTGCAATGGGAAAAATCAAGGCAGAGAATGCTTGGGCAGGACCATTTATTCATTCATTATATTTTTATCTTACTTTTATTACTTTATAAATTACTCAAGATGGCAAACATACATAATACTTCTTCCTCTTCCTCCTATTTTCCTTACAACAACAACCTTGGGAAGTGCATTAGGTTGAGAAAGTGTGACCGGCCCAAGGTCACCTATCTGGCTTTCATGCCTAAGACAGTATGGGAAGAGAGTGACTTCAATACCCCCTATGACATATTCTATGTCATCCTTGTCATGCACATCATCCACTAACCTCGGCCATGTTTGAGCTCATCAAATCCCAGGTCATAAAACAAAGAACTACTGAAGTTTTTCTGCTCATACGGACTCTTGGGCTGAACTGGCTGAGTGGATCTCCCTTTAAGGTATTAGCAACTGAATCAAAACCCGTAAGAAATCTTTTAGGACGTGTAAATCCTTTACACAGAGAAAGAGTTTGTGATTGGCCAAAGGTTGAAACCCATTGAGCTAAACATTCCTTTAACGAATAAGCAAAGGATCCCTTTCTCTGAGATTACCACTTCTAACTACAATGTTAATTAAGCAGGAAGCCAAGTGATATGGAGGAAATGGAGGGGGGGACCCTGCAAGCTCAGCAGGATGCCTAACTGAGCACCTCCTTTTGGCTATCCAGCTAATTACAGTTTCCAATAATTTTTACTAGGCAGGACCTGTTCTTGGGAGGAACATAGGGAAAGTATAAAGGTAAATACTTGAGAACTGTACTATATTGAGAATTGTTCTATTGCAGGTTATGTTGGCAAAAAAACCCGACCGATCAAAATAAACTGATCCATCCTGAATATTCACAAAATGACCTGGCCTGGATTTGAACCCAGAACAGAAAGAGTAGAACTCAGAATTTCCTGTCCCAAAGGTGCTTTAAAAAAGGCAACAGAAGTTTCTTGATTTTTCTTGAAGATGCTTCACTTCTAATCCAAGAAGATTCTTCAGTTCTTGTTGGATGATAAATGAAACATCTTTAAGAAAGTCCAGTTGCCTTTTTTTAAAAAACACCTTTGGGACAACCATGACCTGGATGACTGAGAACCTCCATAGAGATTCTCCTAGTTTCTGGGTCAGCACCCTAACCACTAAATCAAACTACATATTTCAGTTCAGTCTATGGTGGTCTCCCACATAGCTGTGACAGAAGTGGTATTGGGATACTATCTCATAGGAAGAAGAAGGTGTCTTCCAGCTATAAGTTACAGCCTTTTAGGTTATTTCAACAACTAATGCTTGAATCAAATTACTTGCCCTGAATTGTTCATTGTATGCATTATCTCCTTGCACCAGCATATTCAAATGTGATATAACTAAGCAGATGCTTAAAAGGTCCTTCAAAGAGTCATATGTCAAAGTACCCTTAAAGTGCCCTTAAAGTAATGGATTGTAGCAAATTAGATTTATTAGCATTACATTCAGTCATTGAAGTTCTGCCACAAACTTTGCAACTAAAATCTGTTTCAAATGAAAGTAAAATATCCCCATTTATTTACTTTTATATATATGCCCATATCCCATTTTCAATGAAGGGTCACAAAGAACATTAACAATTATAATAAAAAGTTATTTTCCTTAAGGGGTTGTATTACTAGTCAATCATGTTTTCCAGATGTTTACATCATTAAGGGGCCTTTTAATCTCAATATTGCATTGCCATCTGTTCCACTCCTTACCCAATGAGAATCAGAAAATGGATTTAGCAAATATATGAAAAGAGGTATATATATATATATATATATATATATATATATATATATATATATATTCACACACACATACATACATACATATACACGCATATTTTAAAGAATTGGAATATAGCAGTGTTTTAGGTAGACAAAGATTCATTTGGAAAGGGTTTTTTTTTAAAAATGGTTATAGCAGAGTTTATTCAACAGGGAACAGAAATTCACTAAAATGCATGTCCCTCGTTTACCAAAGTTAGCATATAATTTGAAAAGGATCAGTTGCACTGAAGAGTTTATATTCTGTTCCAAAATCATTGCTTGCGTGGCAAAAGCCATTTAGTGTCAAAATATCGGAGAGCTTCTGTTGGGAGATTTTTTAAATTGTCTATGTGAAATTTATCATGCATTAGAAAGATTGTCTTTCCTCTTTCATTCCCCAATGCATGTAATAACATTTCACCTCATAATGCTTGCATTTTCTGTCCTGACTTGATTAAAATGAGCCCTAAGGAAGGTGTTGACTCAGTGACTACACATTTGGGAGCCTGTGCAGAGATCATTATGCTTCATGGTGTGGTGGGCACAGGGTCAGAGAAGGGGGTCTTTTAAGCTAACTCACCCTTGATTCCTCTTGAACGGGTACGTAGCTTTTTATCTTCTCCATCAGCATCCATCTGCAAGAAAGCAGGAAGCATTCAATTAAATCTATTTACCACTGAAGACAGTTTTGATGTCTTACAAATGAAGAATTTATTAATCTGTTGTAACTTAGTTAAAAAGTCATCCATGAATGACTTTCAGTGACAGTTCAGAATAGTATTTCTTTAATATGCTCTCAGCACAACTGCCAATGAGCTACAAATGACTAATGATTTAGGGATTTACATTCTAATTTCAATCAAGAAATTTTGTATATGTGTGTACGTACTCAGATGACAAGTCCCTCTAGCCTAGAACATAGCCTAGAACTTTGTTCCCCTCCCCAATAAATATTTCCATCAAGAATCAAGCAGGGCATGAATGCTACTGTATATTGATGCCTTCCAGGAAGTGGCATATAGTAACAAACTGTGTGCAAATATTGAAGTTCCATTTATCTATCGTAATCATTATTACCAAGAGATGTATCACTACATGAATTCGTCTAATATCCTTTTAAATTCATGGAGGGATGAATTGTATGGCAACAAATTTCATACATTTCTGTTGTTTGGAGAAGGCAATTTTTTGTCTGCCCTAAATTGACGGTCATATTAATATTTTGTTTAAAATTATAGGAGAAGAGTTTAAGTTTAAAGTTATAGGAGAAGAGAAAGGATAATAAGCTATTTTCTCAGTAGTAGTGGATAGGTTCTTGGTACCCACTAAGAAAATGGCCTTATGAGATTCAGCAACCAGTCTGGCACATCATCTCCTAGAAATGTGTACTGTATGTTGGTACAGTTTGGAAACATGCTGAAATGTTTGTAAATTTAAAACTGTATATGAAAATCTATGTCCATACTACTAGACAACCAGTTAATTATTTTATGTTGTTATATTTGTGATATTGGTCACATTGTAATTAATTCATTTTCATATTTCTGTACAACCTCTGGAAATACAGAGCTGGCAGAAAGTTAATAAATATTTTAAATAAACCTTTTAAAGAAGAAATGAGAGAAAATATCTTAAGCCAAAATGTAATAGACAGGTTTTTTTTTTTAAAAAAAAATATTTCATGTTCTTCTTTTTCAAGACTACTTTATTATTTAAATTGTTTAGATTTGTGTTCTGCTTTTTTCCTCTGGGATTTCAAGATAATGTATGAATTTCTGGTTCCTTTTGATTATTCCCACAATAACAACTCTGCAAAATAAACAAGATCATGATTGATTTCTAATCACCCAGTGTTCTTCATGGGCAAAGATTTGAACCTAGGTCCTAGACCACCACTCTTATATCTCATAGATTTTAGATTTGTTTTATGGGAGATGCTAAGTCTATTATTTCAATCAGTATTGTAACTATACTGGTGGTATGTTGTGGATTTTGAACATATCTTGGCACTGGAGGTATGTTTCACACAATTGGGATATGATCATTAAATTCATCATAACTTTGTTGTCTATGGTTTATTCACAGAATTTTAACAAAGCAATGTATCTGGTAGAATTATACCATGAAAATTGGTCCAGCTTCTGGTAACATTTATTTGTTTCCATTTCTATATCGCCCTTCTCCAAATAGGACTCAGGGTGGTGAACAGCCAAAGTAAAAAACAGAACATACAAAATTTAAAAACAGTTTAAAATAATTAAATATTTTGGCCGTAAATTAAAACAATCCAATTTAAAATCAATTTAAAAATTTAACTCAAGCCAGACCAGCTAGTTGAAATAAATAGGTTTTCAGGGCCCGACGAAAAATCCGGAGGTCTGTTATTGTACATATCTCTGGGGGGAGGTTGTTCCAGAGGGTGGGCGCCGCCACAGAGAAGGCTCTCCCCCTGGGGGTCGCCAGCCGACATTGTCTGGCAGATGGCACCCTGAGGAGGCCCACTCTGTGCGAGCGTACTGGCCGGTGGGAGGCTATTGGTGGCAGAAGGCGGTCTCGTAAATACCCCGGCCCTAAGCCATGGAGTGCTTTAAAGGTGGTCACCAACATCTCATCAGTATAGTTTCAAGCAATCATAGCTTCAAGTGAAACAAATATATTCAAACTATATAATTCAGAGTATATCATTTGATAGAAATTTCTTTGGATAGACTGATGACAAAACCACAACCAAGCAGGGCTGATTTGGTTCCTATTGCCTCCCTACAGTTGCCACCCAGGAAATTAGCATAAAAACATTCTGTCAATTATATGTAATGCCATTTTATAATATTTGAAAACTCTAAACATTTTTCTGTAAAGTAAAAACATTGCTTTTATTTACAGTATGAAGAAATCCATTATCTAGTTAGAAATGAAAAAATTTTCCTCCATCATTACTGGTGATAAACAAAATTTCAGACTGACAATGAAAGCAAGAGGAGCAGCTGTTCTTAAATTGTGTGTATGATTGTGTGTTTTCCACTTAAACAGAGGAAGGAAATGTGAGGGTTTTCGTCCTGGATCTGAACAAGAAGAAGGGACAAAAAAGTAATTGGAGGTTTTGAGCAAAAGAGCTAATTAAATTCTGAAAAATACAAAGAAACCACATTTTTGAGATGATGAAATGTTTGCTTATTGAATTAAGATCTGGTAGTATAGATTTTGTAATCAGTAAATTAGGCACATATGCAACTGATTTATTCACTATGACTTTTATTTTTTTTTTAAAAAAAACTCAGTTTATTTTAAGGGCAACTACTCTATTCATTGCTCCTTTGATAAAAATAAAATTCTGTACAATTTTCATGATTTGTTTCATTTAGAAATAAACATTTTTTAGTAGGCTAAGAATATGTTTGTATAGAGGATTTACTAGAGCACAATAAAAGATGCAGGAAGCTTTCTGAATTTTCTGACCTCATCCAGCCTACCAAGGCTTCAGAACGGTGCCCACACTCTGCCATGAACCACAGAAACCTCTGTACACTCTGTGGATCAACCTGATTATCCAAAAAACAAAACAAAACACAGAAAGATATTTTGCACTAGAATCAGGGGTGAAATTCAGCAGGTTCTAACAGGTTCTGGAGAACCAGTAGCAGAAATTTTGAGCAGTTCAGAGAATCGGCAAATACCACCTCTGGCTGCCCCCAGAGTGGGATGGGAATTGAGATTTTGCAATATCCTTCCACCAGAAGTGGGGTGAGAATGGGGATTTTGCAGTATCCTTCCCCTGGAGTGGGGTGGGAATGGAGATTTTGCAGTATCCTTCCCCTGACACGCCCACCAAGCCATGCCCACCAAGCCACACCACATCCACCAAGCCATACCCACAGAACCGGTAATAAAAAAAATTGGATTTCACCACTGACTAGAATTATGTGTTGTGTATTATTTGTTATAAAGGATTCTAAATTTTAAGAGAAGGCTGGTGTCTTCAGATGTATTGGGATTATAGTCTTCAATTCAACACAAATTAAAGGCTGGGGGAAACTGTCTGACATTTATTTTCTTCACCCATCCATAATTCAAAAGCTAGGAAATGTGTTCTAAAACTATGCATTCAGTTTATTATTATGAATTGTAGCCTAGAATGATTGCAGTTAAGCATAACTAAGAAACTTGACTATTCGGTGGCAAAACAATTGCATATTGAAGTAATTCTGATTTTGAATTATAGTGCTTTATGTACTGTTTGATCTCTGCCCAATACTGGTGCCACCTTGCTTTAGTTGGGATGAATTTTATGCTTTGTTAACAAGTTGGGATTATAAATTCTTCATTATCCTTCCCAGGAACATACAGACACATGAACACATAGACTGTCATGATGAAGTCAATACAGTAGGATTTGAGAGGGAGTCAAAGCATTATATGATCCAAAACAGACAATTCTCTTCAGCAAGTTCAGTCCATTTAATTTAGAAAGAAGGTAACTTCTGCTGAGTTAATAAATAATGTGAATAGAATTTACTCATTAATCTTGTGTACCTTTATTAATAAATCTGTATTTCCATTCCCAGAAATCTTTTTTTAAGATTGCATACTTACTACAATCAAATGTTAGAGAATTCAGGAACTTTTTAATCCACATATATCCACATTTTTCAGTATTATGACTATAAATGTAAGAGGCCTAATTTAATCCAACTTCAAAATATAACAAGAATTATGAGCATCTCTGTTCCCCACCCCCACAGCTAATATTACAGAAGGCTATATGAGACATGTAACATATGGTGTATGACATATGACCTAAATAGCTCTTTATAGGAATAAACAAGCAGTCAAACAGTTGAACAGATTTTTGTAAATGTTATGCAAATACTTGAATAAGTCTGTTTCTTTGGTTTTGGTCTTGCATAATCTGAAATTAGAAATATGTTTGTGTTTGTGGAGAGGTGTTATTTGTGTGTGTGTGTGTTTTAGCAATGAAGGACAATGGAGGATAATAGAAAATGCTCCAAAGAAAATGGCTATCCATGTAGATAATTAAAAATAAAGTGTTTGATCAGAAAGAAAACTTCTCTGTTGCTTGCTGCCATTCAAACCTTAGATGGGGTAGCTTGCAGTGTGATTGCAATAGTAATGGGAAATGTGGCTCTGTTCTCTGATGCTGAGTCGTGATTGAAGGCACTGACCTGCCATAGACTTATAATAGGGGAGCAGGTGTGGCAATGATGGACTTTAATTTCCTTTAATAAACCTTTTATGTGCCACACTTTTACTGCCATTCCATGCTCTCCAAGGTCCTGCACATAATAGGTTCATTACTTTTGATTACTATAGTCTATTGAGACAAACAACTCCAGATCACACTATATATTATGTGCAGTTAAACCAATACAGACTATTTATCCAATGTGCTGTATTTCACCTGCAACTCTGCTGAAAAAATTAACAGCCCCTCTTACAAGCTAAAACTATTATTATTATTATTTAAGCAGTTAGAATTCCATTCTCATCATTTCATAATAAACACTACACCAATCGCTACAGTTCTTTTTTTAATTATGAAACAAACAAAAAAAGTGCAGGAAATTCTGGCTCTTTTTAAGTAGCATTTATTTGAGTTTTTATTTGGTCATGAATATTT